AGAAGAGGGGTAGATGGGTGAGGGGTAAGGGGCAAAGAGTGGTGAGCGGGGGAGGGGGCGGGGGGCGGGGGAGGAGGGGAACCTCGGGAATACGTGCTAAGACGGATTTACCTCCTGTCAATGCGTCTTATATTCTTTGCCAACTTGCGCCACGTGCTCAGAAACAGATTTTTCAGTTACTATACAGAGTCAATGAGCACACCAGCGAGTACACCACTATGATAAGTATGTAGTTATATATATATATATATATATATATATATATATAGTATGTATGTATGTATGTATGTATGTACGTGTACGAGTGTTTGTATGTGTGCGTGTGAGCGCACGCGTACATGTGTGGACGTATGTTACTGTCATACGAATACATATGTAAAGTAAATAAGTATGTAAGTGAAGAGTAACGTAAAGAGCTTGTTATGTATAGAAAAAGGATTAAAAAAGAAATAGAAAAAAAAAAAAAAAAAAAAAAAGAAAAACAGAAAAGAAAAAAAGGAAAAAAAATAATAACGTCGGTCGTTCGCGTCGTCGATCTTTACGAATATTTCATCCGTTTAATTACTCTTGACAATTAAGAATCTCGTCGGATCACTTGATTCTTAATATATCTATCTTTCTTTCCTTTCTTTTCCTTTTTTTTTTCTTTTCTATTTTTTTTCTCTTCTTCTCTTTTCAAATCAATATCGAATATAATCTGCATTCTTACACACTCTCGTCGGAGGATCAAGCGGAGAATTTTAAAAGTGTGAGTTTAAAAGCTCTTCGTTTTTTTTTTCTTTTTTCTTTTCCTTTTTCTCATTTTTCTTTTGGATTCTAACGAGAGACACTTCGTTCATTAGGAAATTTTCTTTCGTGTTTTCGGCGAAGAAATAAATTGGAGAAAAAAGAAAAAAAAAGGGAAACACAGATGTATCGGACTTTCTTTTTTTTTTCTTTATTTATTTATTTATTTATTTTTTTTTTTTTTTTACTTTATTTTGTTTTTATTCGCCATATATCATATCAATGAGGATTAACTTAAAGTTAAGGATTATTGTGTATCGATGAAAGGTGGGGGGATGATTTGTACAAGGGAGGAGGAGAAGGTAAGTGACAGGGTGTGATTGGTGTACACGAATGGCATGTAAGTACATACGTTACGTACGTAGAAAGACGGGTTTAGTCTTTATTTAAGTAAAAATTCGCATTTGTTTTTATTGAAAAAAAGAATACGTATATATATATATATATACATATATATATATATATATGTGTATGTGTTTATCTCGTCGCGTGACACGCACACGAAACGCACGCACGCAACCGTCGTCGGAAACAGTTCTTGTTTGTTTGTTTATTTGTTTGTTTGTTAGCTTTTTTTCATGTCTTTTTCTTCTTTTCTTTTCTTTATTTTTTTTTTGTTCTTTATTTACTTATTTACTTATTTATTTATTTATTTTACTTATTTATTTCCCTTTCTTTCTTTTTCGTAATAATTAATTTTATTCACGTTCTTATTTCTCACCTTTACTCCATCATTCTATCATTTCTATCCTTAACGTTCATCTTTTCTTTTCGAACTTGCGCATTTATATCATAAGACCTGACAAATACGATTACTAATAGCGATTATATCGTCCATTAATTTTCGCGATATGGCAAGAACGTTTAATATTATTTAATTGTTGACATTATTATGTTACACCGTTCATCAGTGCAGAATCACTTTAGGTACGTGACAGTCTTGGCAGAAAAATTCATTTCTATTATACTTAAATTACTCAACACTCATGCACACACTTATACTAACGTACACACACACACACACACACACGTACGCACGCATGCGTACGGATTCATTGAACATACATACGTACGTATGTACGTACATAACTAGGGACAGATATATTCGTTCTACATACACACATACACACAGACACACACGCGCGCGCGCGTACGTACGTACGTACGTACGTACATACATACATACATACAATGTACACTTTAATGTCTCCATTGTACAAATAAACGTCAACCTATTCTCACATGTTCAAACCGTAGCTAAATTATTTTGTTACTTCTTCTTCTTCTTCTTTTTCTTTCTCCTCTTCGGCTTCTTCTTCTTAAGTATTTCTTTTATTTTTTTTATTTTTTTTTATTTTTTTTTTTTTTCAATTATTTTTTTCTCTTCTTATTTCATTTTATCTCGTATTGTTCCATTTTTATTTATCTCTCTTTTTCACTTATTAAAACAATTATCACTCAGTCGTGTCGATTAATCTTCTTCCTTTTTTTTTTTTTCATTCATTCTCTCTCTCTCTCTCTCTCTTTCTCTCACTCTTCTAATTATCTATCTACTTCGCGGTAAACTATCTATGTATATATATATATATACATATATGTATGTATATATGTGTATATGTATACACATGGTATCTATGTGTATATATATATATATATATATAACTATTTATTTTTTATCTAACTGTGTATCTTTCTTTGCTCTTATTCCGTCTTA